CTTTCCCTTGGGTACAAAGGACTTCTATGAATCAATTTAAATTAGCCAGAAGAAATAGCCAGCAGCCTGCTTGTGTTCAAATCCCCTGCCCTAATCACCAGTAGGGAAAACCCATTGAAAAGACCTACACATAATCTTACATCCATTGCATTAAAGATGAAACTGCTGAATTGAAAAGATCTCAGCCAATTAGAATTGAGCACATAGCTCAATAGTGTGTCTGGCAGTTAGATTTGAAAGGGCTGCCTTTGACAAAGAAAAGCACTCCTTTATGTCAGGCTGTTTAGGGTCAGAAAATAACCCAGACTAGAAACAGAACTAAAACTTATCTGCTTCAGTACTGACACCAGTTAAAGTAATTTACAGAGGCTCCTATCCCAATATCTAATTACCCAGAATACAATATTTGTATACAGCAGAACTACTCTAATTCACAGTGACAGGGAGCTGCAGTTGGAGAATTAGTGAGTAAGTGAGCAAAAACAATAAAAATCAAGGTTCCTGTACCATGATATATACTTTGTTCATTCCTTTTGACAAGTGTAGTGTGGTGTGAATTATTTATAGTAAATGTACCATAGTGTATTCTCTAAAAGTAATGAAGTCTTACAGTTGTGAGTTTCTACAGTTTTCAGCCAGTAAAAAATAACTAAGAGATAAGGGTGAGGGAGGAGTAGAAGGAAAAAGAGGCGGCGTCATTAAATATTTTGATAACTCTTCATCCATGGATTATAAACTCCCAAGTTTCTTCTATATTGAATTCTTACCTCTTTGGAGTTTACTTAGTTTAATGAACATAGTTTAGTGTGCTAGGGTGGATTGGGTTGGGATAGAGGAAGGAATAAACAAAAGATTTAGATGGTGTTTTAAAATCTATGTGCAATTTTGTGTCTACTGGTTACCTTTCTACATGTTTAGTTAACGCTCTCTTTTAAAAAATAAATAAATAAAATAATACCAACTCTCATTAGAATAGGAAGAACTTTTACTCTTATGGGGGATAACACAAAAAATTTTGAGACATCATAACTGTGTAAGAAGCTACAAACATTAATACAAACAGCAGAAGAGAACTTACATTAATTAATCACTTATTACATATGCATACATAATATGTATATAATTTAATTATCAAAATAACCCTTTAAATTGGTATTACCTTTGTATTACAGATAAAATGTTTGAGACTTGGAGGTGTTGTCACACTAGCTCGAACCACACAGCTCTTAGGTGGAGAGCTGATACCAAACAGAGGTCTGTCTCATTGCACAGTTCAACTGCTTACCACCTCATTCAGAATCAGATAGATCTAAGTCCAAATCCCATACTTATTACTTAATGACCTTGGGCAAGTTATTTAACTGAGCCTTAATCTTCAGACTTAAAATGAGTAAATTAATAACCACTTTAAGAATTTTGCTGAGGGTTAGGGATAAGATGTAAATGTCTGGATCACAGATTCTCAATAAAAATAGTGGTATCTGTTGTTATTAAGTGCATAGCAGAGATACAATCATGCTCCACAAAGCTTCCAAATCTTACAGTCTTTCCTCATTTACAACATGCTTTAGTGTCCAGTAAGAAATATGACATTGACATATTAGGATAATGGTCATATTCTTT